AAGATGATTAGCTTTTGGATTGATAACACAAAAAAACATTCCAGCTGAAAGGACTTGGAATCTGGATAAGTCTAAAAGAGGGAAGAAATGCAGAGAATAGTTTTCCTCAGAAAAAGAGGAGTAGAAATTCAGATTATTTTACAAGGGTTTTTAAATCAGGCTATCAACTACATGTGATCCTGGGGCTCATACCCCCTTATTTGATGTTATGACTTCTTGATCCCACTTTGCATGACATACGGTTTTGTCTAATAATTAAACAGCAGATAATAGTTCCCAGGCAATACAGGTAGTCCTTGACTTAAAATCATTTGTTTAGTGACCATATGAAGTTACAACAGCACTGAAAAAAGTGACTGATGACTGGTTTTACACTTATGTCCATTGCAGCATCCCCATGGTCACGTGATCTAAATTCAAACACTGCATTTATGACAGTTGCATTGTTCTGGGGTCATGTGATCACCATTACTAACCTTCCCGGCCAGCTCCTGGCAAGCAAAGTCAATTGGGGAGGACAGCCAGATTCACTTAACTGTGGCAAAAAGGTCATAAAATGAGGCCCAACTCAATTAACAACTGTCTCATTTAACAATGGAGACTTTGGGCTCCATCATGGTCATAAATCGAGGACTACCGGTAAAATTAACTAGAAAATAAAGCAGCTTTTCTTTTATGGCTCTTTTGTTTAAGACATTTGGAAATGTCTTCTGGAAAGGACATTTTGGATATTCTTTTCCTATTTTGCTCTTCCTACAGCTAAGTCAAAGGCCTACAGTTGAAGAGTTGAGAGAGAGGAAAATTCTCATTCGTTTTAGTGATTACGTAGAAGTGGCAGATGCTCAGGATTATGACAGACGGGCAGATAAACCATGGACCAGGCTAACAGCTGCTGACAAAGTAAGTAGGACAAGCCTCAGAAACAGCCAGGAAGCTAAAGAAGCTTCTGAGATATTTTTGGAGGGAACCAGTAACCAGAGGATGTAGTTAAATTTATTTTCTGTGGAAGTGTACTACAACATCATCCTTGCCAGCTGAAAGTTCATAAGACCTGCCCAAGAGGAGCCAGAATTGTATGGTGTTTTTTTCCTCTCCTTTCTTTTTACCAAGTTTTTTGTTATTCTTAGTTCTAGCTTTTTAGTTAATTTTGTTATCATGCACTTGCATAATAATTCTGGTTGCTTCCATACAAGCCTTTTATTCTTACTACAACATTTCCTCATTTATTGACATGTATAGGAGCGTGGAGGGCATCTCTTCCATCTGAAATGCTCTTCCCTGTGGAAGAGTGACACGTGACAGGAAACTGTCTTCCACAACCTCACCTGAGCAGCAGAGTTTGGCTGTTCCTCATCTAGTTTACTGACATATTTCTTTTCAGCTGGGCTAATCACTTATTCTTTTCTCCCACGCAGGCAGCAATTCGCAAAGAGCTAAATGAATTTAAGAGCACTGAAATGGAAGTTCATGAATTAAGCAGGCATTTAACAAGGTAAGATAATACTATTTTAAGCAAAAGTTCTTAAAAACCACCCAAGCTTGAGGCTATTCCTATATCTTACTTATTTATCTTATTAGTTAGATTTTTTCTCCTGCTCAAAACAGCATAGGTAGTACTTTTTCCTCCAATTTTATTTCCATTTGCAACAACCTCAGAAAAGCTAGGCTGAGAGATGCAGATACAGACAGACTCAGAATCACCCAGGGTGTTGTCAAGGCTGAGGGTAGACTTGAACTTGGGCAATCGGCCCTATTTAACATTATTATTGTTCAATAATATTCAATATTATTATTAACCAATATTAACATAGTGAATGTTCTCCTAGGCTTCTTTTCTACTTGATATTTTATATGCGGGGAAGAAACATAGCTAAATTCTTGAAGGAATCCATCATTTCAATTTCCAGCGATTGTCAGAATGCCTCAAAGATGCCACTGCTGAATTTTGCTTTTGGACTACTCTTAATAAGCAGAAATAAAAACCTTGCATTTCTCCTTGAAAACAAAGGCATAGATTCCTGATAAGGAGAAGAGAGGGGAAAAGGTGGGGGTTTTGGGGTATCAAAAAAAAATTGGGGATTCTTCTGGAGTCAAAAGAATCTCACTCTGAAAAACGTATTATGTGAAGCAATCCAGAGATATGTAACTAAAAGTGGGATATAAATTATACTTTCAAGAGAAATGCTTCCTATTTACCTAATCTTCAGAACAGTTCCACATCATACTGCACTTCTGAGTTTCCTTTTTCTTGCCTTTTTCTTGTTTCTCATCCGAAACCTCAGATTTTTTTTCACCTGACAAAAATAACTCCCCAAATCCTTTTACTGTAAATTCATGGTAGGGTTAATGTCCTGCCTTCCAATTCAATGGTCTCTTAGAGCTTGGCATCAGGGGTGAAATTCAGCAGGTTCTGACAGGTTCTGGAGAACCAGTAGCAGAAATTTTGAGTAGTTCGGAGAACCGGCAAATACAATTTCTGGCTGGTCCCAGAGTGGGGTGGGAATGGAGATTTTGCAATATCCTTCCCCCAGGAGTGGGGAGGGAATGGGGATTTTGCAGTATCCTTCCCCTGGAGAGGGGTGGGAATGGAGATTTTGCAGTATCCTTTCCCTGCCACGCCCACCAAGCCACACCACGCCCACCAAGCCATGCCCACAGAACCGGTAGTAAAAAAAATTGAATTCCACCACTGCTTGGCAACCATCAGTTATGTTGGGACTGCTGTCTGGGAGTTGTGGAAGTTACAGCTTCAAGTTATATAGAATGTGTCAGGCTGGGAAATACTATTTTGTGTGTGATATTTACATCAATGCTATCTGTTCTCTCATGTCCTCTATGTAGCTTGCTGAATAAGTAATTACTGGGAGTCAGCCCTGTCTATGGTCTGATAGTTTCATTGTCTGCCATTTTCTGAGGCAAGTACATTGCCACATATTTTACTTAAAGTAGGGGTCTCCAAATTTGGCAACTTTAAGTCTTATGGACTAACTACCAGAATTCCCTAGCCAACATGGCTGGCTGAGGACTTGAAGTTCACAAGTCTTAAAAGTTGTCAAGTTTGGAGACCCTTGACTTAAACACTATAGTAAATAAAGCCCCTTCTTTAAAATTACTAATTACTAAGCCAGTTTTTGTTTGGTTGGTTTTGTCACTTTGATTCTTCTGAGTATGGGTGCTAATGCTGGTAGTAATCTATCTCATTTGTCTGGGCTTTTTTTCTTCACTTTTTTAGGTTTCACAGACCATAGGAACTGAATATGCTGCCATCTTGAGAACGTAATGGAAAAGAACCATAAGTGCTGATGTCATTCATTTCTCTGTTACGTACAGTGGTAAATCTTCTGAACTGCCTTTCTAAAACCTATAAAAACATGCAGGAAACGTGAGTTTTCTCATCCTGGGAATAACTTTCTCATACAATTTGTTGGCACAACATTCAGCAACTGAGGCTATCTTGGCAAGAATCATGCCTGGAGTTGGCACTTATATTTTAAATGCTGCTGTGTGGAGTTCCCAAGCCATTCATTCACATTAGTGGTCTTTGTTTGGAGCCCGTCAGTCCTCTTTCATCTCTGAAGGAAGCTGAGACCCTTGGTATTTGGCACTGACAGAAGCTCTGCTGGACACAGTCACTGTTCTGGAACAACATTTCTACCAAGCATTTCATTCTGTGTGGAGCACCTTAGAACTTGATGGGGTGAACTGGGGAAATAGAATCCACCTCAAAGGATCCATCTCACTTTGACTTTCCAAGCCCCACCACCCCCAGGAAGATCTTCGGCTGACTGGTGGATACTCTTGATTTCTACAGGACCAAGAAGGATTCTTCATCATCCATTTCTCCTCTTCAAATGATTCTTTTGCTGCAATGTTTGGAAGAGTCCGAGATTGAAGAACTTTTCATAGCAAGCTTATTTTCTACAGTGGAACGTGTCATACTGCCTTCTGCCCTGCTGACTATTTCATGTTTCATATGGTCCTGTGTAGCAGTTCGATAGCCTAGCTTGTCCTGGCGTGGCCTGTCAGCTTTACATAGGTTTTTCCAATTCATTAATGTGCAAGACAGAAAAGGCACAAGTTAAAGAGAACCCTAAGGTTGACTTTATGCTGTATGCTTGGATGTTGATTTTTCTTTTCTTCTTTTAACAGGAGGGATTTCTATTCTTCAAAGTGCTTCTTGGTATAACTAAATATGCTGTTGTGAATGGCTGAGTCTTAAATTGAGAACCAAAGCATTTAGCAAAAGGCTAGAGATGTGATATTGTTATTATTTATTATATTTTATATTTTATTTTATTATATTATTTCACGTTTAAGGTATTGGTCTTCTCTTAATAAGTTTATCTTTGCACATTGGAAAGAATTATGAATCCACTGTATCAAAACACTTTGGTGATGTCTACTAACATCTACATCTAGTTCAGATTAAACATATCTGATTATGCCTTTTAGGTAGAAACTTTGCCATCTTGAACTTTTTGGCCATCCATACAAATCACTATAGATATGACAGCTTTAATTCTCAGACCTTCGCTGGTATAAGACTATAATCTGGGATCCAAATGTGGTTGTACTTAGAGGAGACCCGTTATAGTGAATAGAGTTTAAATAGACAATAACTTAAGTACTATTGATTTCAGTGGGTCTCCTCTAAGGTGATGGCTACTTAAATTCAGGTGATTTTAGTGGGCTTCATCTATTTAGGATTAAATCATGAGTGGTTGATAAATTTTCTTTTAGAAAACATGTATATGGAAGCACATTTTAATGGGTGACTGCAATGATTCAGGTTCTTCTCTAAACTAAAACCTGAGTCACTGCAGTGCCCATTACAATCCTGAGTTCCAATGAATAGGTGATTAAACTAGACTAAGAAAATCCATTTTTTCTTATACAGTTTAGTTTTGTCTAGTTATGTTACTCTGGGCATAAGAAAAAAAGGAGATGAAGTAAGAGTACTTTGTTTTTAGATAAAAGTACATGTATTTTTTTTACTTAAAAAATGCAAAAAAAAAAAAAAAGATTACGACACCACTAGTGGTCAGCAGATGAAGTAGGTGGGCTTGTAGCTGGGTGAATTGCTAGGACTGTGGAGATGGGAGGGTAGTGAAAATGTTAATTAATTTGCCTGGTTTGCACAGAGCAAATCTATGGCAAATAAACTGTTTTTCATACCTTGAAAACTGTCATTTTAACATAGCCAGTTTTCATTTGTCATAGTTTCATAGCGTTATGAAATAATGGAGACCTGCTTGCCCACCATACCAGCCTTTCAGTCCACCAACCCTTGGGTGAAGCTCCTCCCCATTGTTCAAAGACTTATTCTTCCCACCACCACGGATTATCTTTTTTTCTTTCTTCCTTTTTGAGAAGAATTAATAGGTTACAGAACTGATCCTCTCCGCACATCTGAATTTCCAGATGACTTTAACTCCACTTTGCTCACAATCCAGGTAGTTCCTGTCTCCTGCCTCTTTACCTATGAAGAGTAAAAGACCAGGACCACACATGAAGGTTCGACTGAACTGCTAAAAGCCCATGCACAAGAATCTTCTCAGCTAATGGTCAGCACCTGTTTAGAGTTAGATAAGGGTCAATGACACTCAACGGAGGATTGGACTTAGTTCATTTGAACTATGTAGATTCTAGGCTGATCCCCCTTTCACTCTGCCCCCAGCTACTGCCATTCCTTCTCTTACATCATCTTCCATAAAAGTGAAAGCATTTTTGTCCATGTTGAAGACACAAGGAATAGTAACTCCTTTATTTATTTATTTTTATGCAGGTAAATGGATGGAATCAAGAAATAGGGCAAAACTAATTCATACAATGGAACCATATGGTGTGTAGCTTATCAAAACGGAGGGTTGTTTTGCTTTCTGCATACAAATCTTTTCAGGCTTTTGTGTGCAAAATATTTTATTCCAATCCTTACCATCCATACAAGTTTCAAATCGTTGAATTGGGCAAAACTCTTTGTCCATTTTCAAAAAGTCGAAGTTATCAGCTGAGGTCCCACCAACTCAATGTTTAAATAACTGATTATTCCCTAAAAATTTTCTGGTGAAAAATAGCTTATTTTTGAAGATTGAATGGTGTTTGGTCTTTCTAAAGCAGAGTCAGCTGAAACACCAAGTATACCCTACTGCTATGCCAAATTTAACTATTTTCACCACTAAAATCTATGGATATGGGCAACAAGCTATTTTTGTTGCCCTACTCCCATTCGTTTCACCAGGGCTTGAGTAGGGTGTATTTTATTTACAGGGAGACGAGAAGTCTTTTTCCTAGCATATTGAGTTTATTTCTAAGCCTTTGTTGTTCACATGAAGCTCTCACAGACATCTATTTTCCACTCCTGGGGGAACTATTTTCCCCCCTAATCTTTATGAAAGAATGATTGTAAATCTTGCAAAAGGCACACAGGATTGCAAGTTAGTCCTGCATCCAACTTGATTAGACAGCTTAATTTAATGGTTGCAGGACTAGAAATGAGGATTCCAGTTGCTCTCCAAGTTATTCTGAAACCGGTACATTTCCCAGGCCCTCTTCCCATCAAATGAATGTACATAGTTTTTGTCTTTGTATAGGAGTGAATGTGGTGACAGTCAAGACTGTGATCTTCCAGTATTGTAATTTAACAGATTATGGCTGTATGAAAAAACGATGATAAAATGTAAATATCTAGAGAAAACACTAAAGTGAATCTCTACATCTAGAGTTTCAATTTGTACATACTGAAACTGCATGGTATTTAAATTGTCTTGGATGTATGCAGTTTCTTTAAAAAAACGTTTCAAAGAAAAAAATGTTCTGGTTTTCTTTCTTCTGTCTGTTACATGTTCAGAGACGCTCAGGAATCAAAATTTGTTCTAGGAGCCACCATAAAAAGACCCCACCAATCAATTTGGTCATTGATTTTGGAGATTAAGCAATCCCATTTGCCTTTTTTACATTTTAGGTTTTTTTTCATTGTTTCCAGTTCTTCAGAAATCATAGCTATGGTTTCAATTCACTGGAAAAAAATTGCAGTTAATTATTTTGTCAAATTCTGCCAAGTCTTCTCTTTAAATACTTTCTCTCAGCCCTGGACAGTTATTGATTGAAGAGTGTATCACTGAATTAATTACACTCCACAAAGCAAGCCGTTCCAGCCTTAATCTTTGTATGCAAAACTGAGTGATGAGTTTTCCACTAACATTCACATGGTAATATTTGATTTCTGAGCATTGTGGAAAAAAAACTATGAGCTTTTTCTACACTAATCTAAAATAGATTTGTTCAGGTGAAAACCTTTGCAGAACATTAAAGAGAACAGCCTGCCTCTGAAGAAAGATTTGAATTTCACTAGTCTGGCACCTTATTTTTAAATAGCAATTCACGCTTGAAACAGTGAGGACTCTTGCACTGCTGTGGAAGAAAATAAAATTTGAAGACGGGATCAAGCCATTATCAGAAGTCATTTGTTGCTCTCACTGTCAATGTTACCTTAATCATAAAGTAATCTGCATTTTAAGCATAAGAATGGAAAGGCGATACATTTTATTTTCTATAATAAAAATAAATCCACTCTATTATGAATTGCTGATGGCTGCAGGTTCTAAAACCTCTTCCAGAGGATCTGTGGAGGTGCAGTAGTTAGATGCAGTATTGCAGGCTAACTGCCCATTGCCAGGAGTTCGATCCCGACTGACTCAAGGTTGACTCAACCTTCCATTCTTCCAAGGTCGGTAAAATGAGGACCCAGATTGTTGGGGGCCATATGCTGACTCTGTAAACCGCTTAGACAGGGCTGTAAAGCACTGTGAAGCGGTATATAAGTCTAGGTGCTATTACTATCTCTGATATTCAAACTCCGATCCCATTTCCTCTGTTGGTTTAGCAGCTTGGTAATTCCTGCTGCCAGAATCCATCTTCTGGGGTGGGGTAAGGGATAATTACCTCATTTGGTATACAATGTTTAGTCTTGGCATGAGAGGAAAAAAGCAGTCACGTCCAATGCTGCCCTTTATCTAAATAAAAAGTTCAAATAATTTATATAATGCCATTTCCTTACTGCATAGGATCGAGCAATGGTGGCTACAGGATTCAATCCTACTTCTCCCTTTGAGAGACAAACCAATCTCACATGATTTATATATATATAGAATCAAACTTTATTAAAAACCGAAAATGTAAAATGTAAAGACCAAAACTTATTTTGAAATGTAGTATGAAAAGGTAGACGTTCAAGGTGGAGGATAATTACAGAGCTGTCCAGATCCTGGTCATACAGCAGCTTACAAATTAGTTTAAGAAAGAAAAATCTAAAAGAAAATACAATTCTCTAGACAGACCAGGAGTTGGACAGCGGATCTAATTCAAAAAGAACATTCTGTCCTCAAAATCTCTGTACAGACTAGACAGATTTCCAATTATTAAATTAATATAACAGAAGGAAAAAGGTATATTCATGAAAACAGGGTAAAGATTGATGTTAAATCCCAAATACAGAGTTTACAGGTTCTCAATGTATAACCATTCAGCCAGTGGCCATTACAAGTAATGATGGCACTGAATGAATGGTGGTTACAGTATCACTGGAGTTCCAGCCATCCCAGTGCACCCGCAATCACAGGGTCATGATCTGGATGCACAACACAAAGATCTATCCTCACCCAAAATGTTTAACCAGGTCAGATAAAGTTCTAACAGATGTACTCATATGTTTAATTTTAAACAAACATTCTTGGTTTGTTTCATGGCTTAGCAATGTGCAAACCTAGCCTATCTGGTTAGTTTATAATTCACTATAGTGTGCCAACCATGAAAAAACAGCCCAAAGCATTTTAATTGGACCTCTTTCTAATACCAACAGCCATTGACTCCTTTTTGTACATTGACTGATTTGCCCATTATCTTTGTTTTGTACAGAAACTGAGATGTATAAAAGAACTTTTGCCAGTTTATTGCAATTAGTTTAGGCAGAGATAGGACCTGTTATACTAAGGGTAGGAGATTGTGCTACTGAACTGCTATGGCCCACATACTCCCTTCTTCCAATCTAGAGGAATCTGCATGATAAAAGAGCATATTTAGCTGAATACCTCAGTAAATAGCAATAGCACTTAGACTTATCTATCGCTTCAGAGTGCTTTACAGCCCTAAGCGGTTTACAAAGTCAGGATATTGCCCCCAACAATCTGGATCTTCATTTTACCGACCTCGGAAGGATGGAAGGCTAAATCAAGCTTGAGCTGGTGAGAATTGAACTGCCAATCTGCTGGCAACCGGCAGTCAGCAGAAGTAGCCTGCAATACTGCATTCTAACCACTGTGCTACCATGGTGAAAATGAATGAGCACTATATTAAGTTGATCAAAACTTTCTTTTCATAATGCTTTGCTTTTACGTTTTCCTTTTCCCAGTTTGCCTCTTCCTAAAAAGTATCTGATAAAAAATATTTCTGATAGGAAATCTGTGACTTTCCAAATGTTGCTGAACATCCGGAATCCTTCACCATTCACAATGTTGACTGGGACTTGACTGTTAGGAGTTGTCATATTATAGATTTCAACTCTCTGCAACAGGAGTAACACATCACAATTACAACCACTGTACCCACAATGTTTAAATAACTTTAATTATATATTTTGGAGAAAGAAACAGACATAAAACAAAAACAGAAATGCAGGTAATTTCAAACTGAATGAGCAGGGGTCCCACAATGTTTGTGCCACAGTTCAATAGCCTTGCTCACAATCGCATCAGTGTTATCTTGAGGTATCTATGAAAGATAAAAGCATAGCTTGAAATACAGAGTATTTTACAGTGCAGTCTTGAATATGTTTGGCCTTGGACTTCAAAATAGTATTGAATTTAATTAAAGCACTGTTTTCTTACAATTTAGAATGTATGAAAGAATACTTACATTTTCCAAAAAGTGTTCAATCTTTTCAGCACTAGTCAAGACTATCAACTTCATTTTAAAGGTTAATAAGATCTCAACAGCAACGAAGACAAGGATTTTGCAAGAACCACTAATAACCTTGTCCCAAACCCTAGAAAATTCAATGAGACAGTCATAAAATTGTCTGTTATTTTTACATCTACAATTTATATTATCAATATCCTGCCTTTGTGATTACAATTAAAATTTGGTGAAGCCCTAGAAAAGCTGAACAACGCTTAGAAAAGCTGAAAAATTGACATTTTTCAGAATGCTGGCAATATTGCTGATTGTCAAAACATCATGTCTATGTGATTCATGAGCATATGCTCCACTGAAGACTACAGGGATGTATGTTTTTCCAGTCTAGGAGAGGTGGAAGGGAGAGAAACTTGCCTTTGTAAACTTGATTCAGGTAGGCATCCAGCAAAACATTTTCTAAACCAAAGTTTATAAGGAAGCTGGCCCATTGCTGAACACGACTTCAGATATGCAAGAAGCCGGTTATCCTCAAGGCTCAGGATTTGTTCCAGAAGTTTTGGCTGTAGCAGCATAAATATAAAAAGAATTAATGAAATATGCTAAAATCAAAACTTTTCTTGCTCATAGATATTTGTGGCAAGAAAACCATCAAATTCAATTCAGTGTGATATATGAAGGAGATTACTTCATTCATATTATTTCTTACAGGTCAGAAATATACAAAACAATATATTTACAAAATCATTTGAGAATTCCTTTTCAGAACCACAGTTTTGTTTAAAAAGGGGGGGGATCACAAGGCAAAAGGAGCACATTATGGCATTTTTACCATGGCACCAGTTTCTGTCTGCTAATCAATCGGATGTTTTTTCCAGTGGTTCTGCTTCACACATACATTTTGCATGCATACAGGACTGTATCCAACATCTTCAAAATTACTGGTCACAATTTAAGAATAACCCTCCCCTCCCGCAAAAAAAAATCAGGCTTTCCAGGTGCATTTCATGAATGTAAGCATCCCTATGGTCACCTGATCAAAATCTGGACACTTGGTAACTGGCATGTATTTAGGACAGTTGCAGTGTCCTGGGATCACATGATCACCTTTTGCAACCTCCTGTCAAGTAATGGAAAGCCAGATTTGTTTAACAACCATCTTACTAACTTAACAAGTATAGTGATTCGGTTAACAACAGTGGCAAGAAAGATTGTAAAAGGCGGTAAAATTCACTTAACAACTGTCTTGCTTAGCAACAGAAATTTGCGCATCAATAGTGGTCCTAAGTTGAGGACTATCTGTATCAGTTTTTCAAGGTCATAACCACCACTTTGAATTACATCCAGAACCAGGCATGTAATTAATGCAGCTCACAGAGAGAAGTGATGCTTTGTTGCTGGATTTTGAACCAGATGAAACTTCCAAGCTTTTTTCAAAGGCAGCCCTACATATACTGCTTTGCAAGACAAGGTATGAGTGACTAGAGCAGGGCTGTCAAACTCCTGGCCCGCGGGCCGGATGCATTACGCACTGGCCACATCCATGCCTTGTTTAGTGAAGGTGAAAAAAGCCCCAATATGTCATGTGATGCCGCTGTGACGACGTGAGTTTGACACCCCTGGACTAAAGCATGAGTGATCAAGTTTGAAGGGCCTCCTAAACCAGGAAGGTATGTAGCTGTTGCACCAGGTGAAGCTGCCTAAAGGCCTTATTGATTACCGTTGCTACCTTTTCACCAAGCAGGAGCAATGAGTCCAACAAGACCCTCAGATTGGGCACCATCCAAGTAGGGAGATGCAACGGCACCCAAGATCAGCAACAATCTCGCTAGATCCAGGCAGCCCTAACAACCATAGCCATTCGGTACTTGCAAAACTGAACTGAAGATGTTCTATCCCCATCCTGGCCTGCATAGCCACCAGTCCCTGGGGCCGAACTTTGATAGCCTCACTCTGCTAGTCTGGGATTGAAAGATATAATTGAGTAAAGGAAGAAAACTGGAGAACAGTGCCTCCAATTCTCAATCCCTGGAGTTGATTCAGAAGGAAAATCACTTTAAATCACCCTGGTTTACTTGAAATAACCAACCTCCAACCTCCAAATCAAGTAAAGGTTAGCACATTTTTAAAGTTCAGGTACAAAAATATAATGCAGTTAATCAAAACTGAATGTGAATGTTTGCAATCTACTCCTAGCAGATGTGCAAAAAGTAACAGGGGACACGTTAAACCCAGCAGGAAGTTGGATCACTTATGACAATGAATCATCATATATTATGACAAACCCAATCTCTGCTATCACTCTTTGCAGCCTCTTGGTTTTGTCGGCAACTCTCAAGATAATGAATTGTAACAGAAATAATCCACAAGAATTTATAGAAGCTGATCAGTAAGGTGTGTGTGTGGGTATACATACATACTGAGAATGTTCCAATCTCAGAGCAAGCACTTTTATTTTAATTATATGTATGTACAGTATATATAATTAAAAGTCCTTGCTCTGAAATTGGAACATTTTTTCAGTTATCCTATCTCTTACATGATTCATCTTGTCTGAAATAATTAGCTTATTTCCAATCTCTCACTAGTGTTCCAAGTGTCATTGGAGGAGATCACACATACATAATAAGCCAAGGGCAAACAAACTTATCTCCTACTATATCACAGCCTATTTTCTCCAATCTAGACCACAATTCTTCAGTCTTCTTCAAAAATATGATGTATATTTCTAAGATACCTTGCCAGAAGCAAGTGTCAAAGAGTACATATAAGTGGATTGGATTTATTATAGAAATTATCTTCTTTTACCACAATCCTGAATCCAATTTTTATAACAAATGCAAAATAATGTGTCAATTGATAATGGATTCAATGGAATCTATTATAAAGTTTGCATATGCACAAACTCAATGCATCAAAGTTTTATAACTACATGAATCCACAACAAATATTAGACATGGCTAACATGACTCTAGAAAGTTCTGATCCTAGGCAATTGGGTTTTACAGATGGTGAATATAAAGCCTACAAGACAAGTAAACAGCAGGAATCAATCATGCAATTTTTTAAATGTTCACATTTATATCTCATATGAAATTACTTAAACCAACAGCCCATAGCCAGAAACTAACTTAGATCATTGTAACTACCTTTGCTTCGCCCAAACATTTGCATGCAATTTTCCTTATCTTCCTTATCTCTAACAGTACGTTTGATACATATTATCAATTATAGACATACAGGCAGTCCTTGACAGTTCATTTAATGACAGAAGTTATAAGAGCAATGAAAAAAGTGACTTATGACCATTTTTTACATTTATGACCATTGCAACATCCCCATGGACACGTGATAAAAAATCAGATACTTGGCAACTGACTCATATTTATGACAGTTACAGTGTCGTGGGGTCATGTGACCTTCTGACAAGCAAAATCAATGGGGAAGCCAGATTAGTAATAACTCCTGTGATTCACTTAACAACTGCGGCAAGAAAGGTCGTAAAAATGGGGCAAAACTCACTTAACTGTCCTCACTGAGCAACTTAAAAGTTTGGGCTCAATTGTGGTCATAGGTCAAGGACTTACCTGTACCTGCAATCCTATTTCTATATTGGACATAAGCTCATATGTGCAGTTCTGCAGAGATAACACTTATTTTCTTACCAGCTGTGGTAATGACTCCTTGTACCTATTGTTTAACTGGTTCACAAAACTACTGACTAGCCAGTAGCAATCAACATTATCTTCCACCATTTCTTCCATTGCTTTAGCAATAGCAAGGAATATCTCATCTTCGGATTGCTGGAAAACAAAGGGGGTGTGGCAGAGAATAAAGAGAAAAAGAGCATGTGCATCATACATTCAGTTAAAAATTTGCAGTCAAGTTCCCACTAATAGCAATGTGTTTGGTACAAATGTGCACTGAGGATGCTACCCAAAACTTTCTAAATCAGCAAAGCTTCTGTTCAACAGAAATGGTGAACAGAAAATGAGTTTGCTAGAAGTGGAGCTGATGACCTCAGCAAAAGGGCTGGCAAGTAGCCCAGGTCTTCATGATTACTCTCCAAACAAGGAGAGGGCTTGAGATCTCCCACAAATGCTCCAAACAGTTAGAGTGAAGATATGACATCAGTGGATTTGGAGCTGCTAGGAAATGAGGACATAAGTCATATTTTGCTTAAACTTTGGCCAGCGCTTTCAAAAGGAAACTGGGTTGGCTTACAACGTTTTCTAATCCCTTTCAGAAATTGCTTGTTAATTGTTTTTCAATTACTAGGAACCTTTGGATGGACAGGTTTTATAGCACAGGAAGAGTTTTCTTTAATGTTGAATGAAAGAAGTTTTAAATACAAAGGTTTGTTTTCTTTTGTTCTATCATGTCTGATTTTCAGACAGCCTGGGTAAGTTGCTGCAGTTTGTTTGGCAAAGTTTTTTAGAAATGATTTGCCACTGCCTCTGTCCTAGGGCTGAGAGACAGTGACTGGCCTAAGGTCACCCAGTTGACTTTTTCCTAAAAGCGGGATTAGAATTTACAGTCTCCTGGTTTCTAGCCTGATTCCTTAACCACTACACCAAACTGATTCTCTAAACATCAGACATTTTGAAAGGCATTTTTGAACAATGGACCCAGAAGATAATTTTAAGACTGTCCGCCTATATAGATACTGTGTTTAAAAGACATTATGGAAAAGAAACACGTTGTACCTGGGTCCTAAAGACTGGTTATTATAAGTTAAAAATAAAACTGTGATTGATATGATTTCAGGTGACCCTCATTTACCTTCAATAACCATCTGAACTTACGACCATTCTGAAAGAGAGATACTTAATTCTGACTATTGGAGTGTCCATGTATTGGTAACTGGATTACAAATACGACACTGCAGTGTAATACGGTCATGTAATTTTTAACCTTCACTTCCAACTTCCAAAAAGCAAAGTCAATAAGGAAGCCAGCAGGAGGTTGCAAATGGCAACCATGTGACTTTGCATTGAACAATGCAGTGGGATTCCCTTTACAATAGCAACCAGAAGTGCAGGAATTGTGGTCGGATCGCACAATGTTGTACTTTGTGATTTTATCACTTAGCGACAGAAATTCCAGTCACAATTGCCAACCACAACTGAGGACAACCTGTTCTTAGCCCATTACATGCACTTTATAAAAATACCAATTTGAGGGTAGGACAGACTATAAAGGCAGTTTCACACATAGGGGCCAACAAAGGGGTTAAACAATGGTATATTTCTTTTTAATTTTATCAACGCAATGGGAGATGCCCTAAGCCAGGGATGGGGAACTATGGTCCTTTTATGACTTGTGGACTTCAACTCCCAGAATTCCTGAGCCAGCCATGCTCAGGAGATGAAGTCCACAAGTCATAAAGGGCCCACAGTTCCCCATTTCTGCCCTAAGCAAGTTTCATTCCCCCACACTGACTAACTAACCTGAATCTATACTGCTATACACAGATGATGCTGTCACATTACTGTAAATATCAACATGTTTTGAAGAGCCATAGCATTTAATCTCAGACAGAAAAAAATCGGGATTTGTGTGTAAAAATCTTATCAAAAGCAAAATTAACCTTCACTGACCAAAGGAAAAGATGGATTTTGAGGTAGCTTTCCCGATTCCAACTGATATATCCGGAGGAATACTTCAACCTGTGGAGTAGAATCTGTGATAAAGCGAATTACTTGAAGGGCACGGTATACATCCCCATATTGTTCCTTTCTATGTTTCATCACAAATGCATGAGAGTCATGGTGAGGTGGGAGAATTCCTTTAAAGAAAAAGAGAAGATGAGAGGTTTAAATTAAGTCTATCTGCTCTAAGGGTGAAACATTCATCTTCATACCAATTATTCTCAGATCAAATAAAAAAAGATCTAGCATTTGTTCATAAGAAATGCTTTGGTGCTGTTATTGCGAACAGTAGTTTATTATCCATATACAACTAAAATTCTCATTGTGCTTATAAGTTTGTTTTTATCCTCAAACTAGCCCAAACTATGCATGATATCGCAACAATTTTTGAATCAAGGTACCTAAAATTCGTTAAGAACGTATACAAAATCCGGGATCCATTATTCCTGTGGAATTGAAATTCCACAATGTTCACACCAGTTTTATTTGCAAAGTTGCGGCCATTGCAGGATCCCTGTGATCACAATTGTGAACATGTGAGCAGCCAAATTAGTGGGGAAATTGGCAGGTAGTCAGAAATCACTTCTTCTCCCACAGTTTTTCCCCCACACCCATAGTTCTTCTGTTTATCTTTTTAGGTTAAATAAATATTGACTTACTACTCAAGTTCATTTGCCACTACAATTATTTTTCCATTTATACTCTTCTTAAGACAATTACAAGACTGTGCAGCATTAGGATAAAAAAATATGGTCAGCCTAAAATGTCATTATACATTCTGGTGACATCAGACTGCATCTCTCGAAGGATGATTCAACGGGTCACGCACTGCCTAATGTTCACTAATGTCTCTGCTAACAAGCTGCAAGGATAGTTTTCTTGCTGAAGACAGTGTACAGGAGGAATGAGCAGAAAAGCAAGCCTCATACATGTACTTTTTTTTAAATGAACAGGAGTACTCCCTGTAAATATATGTACATATATGGAAAGGGACTTAGGTATGACAGATTTAGGATTGATTACAGAATAAAGCTTTTATACAGAAAATTCCAAGCACAGTCCAAGTCTCCCTATTTATTAACAAAGTTACTGAACATTTTAACCATGTATTTGTTTTTAGGAAACAAAACAGGGAGACTACATAGGCCAGTCTTCCCCATCCCAGACACAGATGTGGTTGAGAAATTGAAATTTACAGTTCCAATGTATCTGAAAGAAGCCAGGATTGGGAAGCTGATTAAAAACCACAACTGCCTATTTTGACTAATAGTAGCTATCTGAAAATTTCAAAGAGCAATTTTTCCCAGATCCACCTTAAAAAATCTAGAATAGAGCAATGTTAGAATATTTTCAGGGGAAAAAAAATTTAAGCAGGATTCCTTCCTAAATACCCCAGGTTAACTAAAGCTACCCAGAGACATAATGCAAACTATTGGAAATTTCACTTTATATGTGTTACAGTAGCCAATTATATTGTTTAGCACCACTTCTTAATATATTTTAATGGGTACACCTGCTAAGGCATCTATTGCAAGGTTTTATCAAGGAGCAAAACTGCAAGCAGATCAGCAAAGCTACCCTTGTTATTTACAAAGAAGCCTTTGGTCTTCACCAATTTCCATACCTAGAAGCACTTTCCATACCAATGTCCGGTACATGGATGGGAGAGGAAACCTTTGACTAAATGTGCAAAGCTTCTCAATATCTGTAAATAAAGATATAAAAACAGTGTTTAATAATGTTAGGAGGCAGCTCTAATCAATACTGACCCGGGAACTCTGGCAGCAGAACAAAAGGCTCTCCAGAGAATATTCCCCCTCTGCTGTAATTCTGCCCAAATTCAAAACACACCCTTAGCGACTGTAAACATTATACTACATAGGTATATTGCACATACCCAACCGATCATCTTTCAAAAGAATTTCTAATGATTTTTTTTCTTCAACACCACGAAATCCTACTTTTTCATAGTACACGGATCGGAAATTTCTCTGAGGATCTTCAGCCATGTCTCATTCTAAAATAAAGACAAATTAAAGTATGTCACCAAATAAAGTGTTTTACTATCAGTATATCCAACAAGAATATGTTGCAGTACAAAATTCTCCTATTTGGTGTTATATCCAGTCACATTCCTTTGCAAATAATTAATTCCACTGCCCCTTTTGCCTCACTTTTCCAAGGCTTTTCTCTGTCCAACCTTCCTCTCATTGGATAGATCAGTTCTGCTTCTAGTGTTAGTTTGCAATGTTTTAAAGACCTTGAAGTTTACCCACCCAAGTAATATTCATAGTCCTTTATGTGCAGGGTGAATGCAGATTTGATTATGCATGAACTGGAACACAGGGCAGTGTTCATGATTTCTATATAAAAATAAGACAAACATCTGATGTAGTTGTAATTCTAAACCATGATGGGAAACAGGGATAAGCAGCAAAATTAAAGCCAGGTTCTTCCCTTCTTTCCACTTTGCTATTTCTTTTTCCTGCACAGTGGGTTCAATTTCTGCACACCTCAATTTTGGTTAGTCATCAGATACATTTTGGGGGGTAGGTGATATTGTTTTGGCTGCACAGACAATGGAATTTACACTTTAATAATGCAAAAATAAGAAGCATAGATAGCATATGTTGTAGTTGTTACTAAAAGCATATAATAGCTCTAAGAAAGGAGTGTCAAACTGGTGGCCCACAGGCCAGATGGGTCACTTGCAGGCCATGCCCACCCCAGCTCCACGAAGGGAAAAAACATTGCAATACATCACATGATGGCAACATATAGAAGCTTTCACGTTTCAGAAAAAATATTTAAAGATAACTTCATCTTTACTTCTTTGCAATAAATAAAATAATGGAATGCACAAAGAAAGTGCATTTCACAAGTTTAAGCCTTACCTCAGTGGCAGGCAGGTGAACTGAAGTGAAAGGATACTTGAGGTTTATTGCTAAATGTTATTAGGTTGGTGTTTTAAGGAGAAACGCTGATTGTTACAGCATATTTTGCTTTTAAAAATTAAGATTTTTTTAACTAGAACCCTGGAATTAAAACATAAAAAGCAATCCTGCACAATCTAGTTTCACTACAAATTATGTCATTAAAAGGATTCTTGCAGATCAAACTAAAAGTTTCCAGAAAGCTAACTGGTTTTGGAAAAAAGATTTGTAATACTAATACTTTAAAAGACTTTCAAATATTTATTATGTGGATTAGCATTCCATTCATAAAGTGGATTATAGTACATGAAAGACTTTCCTGTGATAAATACATTAATCTTCTAAAGCAATAAGACCAAACCCATCTCCATTGTTTCTGAAGTTAAAGTTACCTTTGTTTTCACTCCTATGCCAGAGGGAATAAAAAAAGGAGCCATAACCATTACTCTTTATCTTTCCACAGCTTACATATTATTTTCTGACCCGATTCCTCAGAACAATCCTGTGAAATAAATTTGGTTGAGTTTTGGGACAAGCTAACAAAAGTCTTGGGCTGGACTTGAGCCTGTAGTACAGTGGACTAAAGCACTGTTATTAACATCAGCTGCCTGCAATTACTGCAAGTTCAAATCTCACCAGGCTCAAGGTTGACTCAGCCTTCCATCCTTTCAAAGGTAGATGAATTGAGATTGTGGGGGCAATAAGCTGACTTTGTATAAATATACAAAAGCATGAAGGCTATTGCTTAGCACATTGTAAGCCGCCCTGAGTCTCCGGAGAAGGGCGGCATATAAATCAAGTTAAAAAACAAAAGAAAACTAAGAACCCCGCCCCCCCCATTTCGACCTTCAAATACGCAGACCACGGTGTATCGTTGTGATATCGAAGTACCTACTAATAGGAGCTGAAGCCTAACACAACCGGAAGGCACCAGGCTGCAAAGGACTGGCTTTAGGAGGGTAAGCAGTTTGAAAGCCACAGGGCAAAGGCGCTAGTCCGCAGGATAGCCACAAGGGCGCCCCCTCACTCTCCACTGAGAAATTGAGGCATCTGGTGGTAAAATGGCTGGAAAGAAGGGCACCTCGAGAGAAGAGCTTATGGTAAAAACAGAGCAGCGAGATAGGAAACCAGCAATGACTGAATGCCGAAGAAAGGCTGACTTGGAAGCCGCCACGACGGGAGCAAGAAAAGCAGCGGGAGAGACCCGGCTGAGGCAGCTAACAAAACACCCCGCGCCCCTTTCCTTCCTACCCGGCCGAAACAAAAGCCCCGCCTCGGCCTCGCCAAGCCAGTCGACAGCTCCCTCTCACGGCTCCACCGCGCAGACTCCAGCCGGCTCAGACGTGAAGGGGAGGGAGCAACCACGGGGGCAACCGGGCGGCGCGAGGCCTGGGCCTTCGAGATATCGCGATTTCTTGTGCGGCTTTGTTGCTTTCCCTAAAGAGAGAGCGAGAAATAGACGTTGCGCGGCGCTTGCTGCTGTGGCTGCCGGCTCTGGCGGAAACGTGTTCGAATCTCGGCGTCTGTCTGGCGGCTGACCAAAGCGACTGGGTGGGGGGCGGGGTGTCTTCTTGGTGGTGTTCTTTGTTTTATATTCCGAAGGGAGGGGGATTATTATATAATTATTTTAATAATATGTCAAAGTAAAGCCGTTAAAACCTAATTAAGAAGAGGCAGCCTATTACCAGAGTACAGGTAGTCCTCGACTTACGACCACAATGGAGCCCTAAATTTTTGTTGCTGAGTGAAACATTTGTTCGATGAATTCTGGCCCATTTTACGACATTTTGTGCTACAGTTGTTCAGTGAATCCCTGCAGTTGTTAAATTAGTAACGTGGTTGTTAAGTGGATCTGGTTTCCCCATTGACTTTGCTTGTAAGAAAGTTCCCAAAAGGTGATCATGTGATCCCAGGGACACTGCAACAGTCATAAACACGAGTCAGTTGCCAAGCATCCAAATTTTGATGACGTGATCCTGAGGATGCTGCAATGGTCGTAAGTGTGAAAAAAGGTCATAAGTCGCTTTTTTCAATGCTTTTGTAAATTTTAACAGTCACTAAATGAACTGTTGTAAATCGACTACCTGTATCAAGCTGGTGCAACTTGGTAAAACGCCTTCTGCAGTACAGGTAGTCCTCGACTTATGACGACGATTGAGCCCAAAATTTGTGTCGCTAGGTGAAGCATTTGTTAAGTGAACTTTGCCTCATTTTATGACTTTTCTTCCTACAGTTGTTAAGCAAATCACTGCAGTTGTTAAGTTAGTGACAGTTGTTAAATTAATCTGACTTCTCCATTGACTTTGCTTCTCAGAAGGTCACAAAAGGTGGTCACATGACCTTGGGATACTGTAACCGACATAAATATGAGCCAGTTGCCAAAGAGTCTGAATTTTGATTATATGGCCCTGGGGATGCTGCAAAGGTTATAAATGTGAAAAATGGTCATAAGTCACTTTTTTCAGTACCACTGTAACCTTGAATGGTCACTAAATGAAGTATTCTAAGTTGAAAACTACCCATAGTGCAATTGCTCTCTTGAAGTGACGACTCAGCTGCAATCCTTTGGCCTAAGGGATTTTTTAGAGGGGGGGGAGCGCTTTCCCGCCTTTTTCCATTTAACATCTGGAAGATACTGGGTTAGGTGAAGCTGAATTTAGTTCAAAGCATATTTACTGATCCCAGAATTTTGGTCTTGCCTGACCAGAGAATGTTATTTTCTGAGTCAGATCCAGGCCTGTAGGATGGTGGCTACCAGAACCTGCAAAGCAATAGCTTCCTCTTGGCAGTTGTTCTGTTGTTATTGCTACTTCTCGGTTTTATTTTTCATTTCTCTGTTTCTAATATCTGCACTTTGTTTTCTCTTGAGCCATCTTGAAGTAATTTTAATCAAATAAAGCTGGGTGAAGACATAGTAAACTCCAGTTGATATCTTAGGCAGGGTGTGTCTAGTAATTCAGTTTTAGAATAGCAATTATATTAAAGACCAAAGGTTGCAATGTCAAACTCGTTAGGTAATAAAGTATAAGGTAAAGGTAAAGGTTCCCCTCGCACATATGTGCTAGTTGTTTCCGACTCTAGGGGGCGGTGCTCATCTCCGTTTCAAAGCCAAAGAGTCAGCGCTGTCGAAAGACATCTCCATGGTCATGTGGCCAGCACAACTAAACACCAAAAGCACACAGAACGCTGTTACCTTCCCACCAAAGGTGGTCCCCATTTTTCTACTTGCATTTTTTATGTGCTTTCAAACTGCTAGGTTGGTAGAAGCTGGGACAAGTAATGGGAGCTTATCTTGTTATGCGGCACTAGGGATTTGAACCGCTGAACTGCTAACCTTTCAATCGACAAGCTCAGCGTCTTAGCCACTGAGCCACCACATCCCTAATAAAGTTGTACAAATGAAATCACAAAAAACATGAAAGGGGAAAGGACTGCTGGATAAAACCAGTTCTATATTTTACTGATGAAAAGCCTGTGAGTCACAAAACCTTGATGATGATATATTTGTTAGGATCTTAAGGACCCCACAAATGTTACCGTTTTTTGGGGGGGGGGGAAATGTGGATGCAAAACAAACATTTTATTAACCAGTAATTAGCTATTCTGTAAATACAATTTTATCCTGAAGAAAAACATTTTTGTAGATAGAAGCCCATACTATTATATTCTGGACAACAGCTGCTTTTTATAGTGGGGGGGGGGGGAATTACTCAGATGCATTCCTCACTTTTTATTGCTGCAATTTACTGCAGGAGCAGGAGATGGCAGCCTTAAACTAGCTTTTCTTAAGAGCACCTGTTAGAAGTCCTGTCGATAAGTGGCATAGTTGTTCTGTGCATTTTATATCCTCCTACTTAGGAAAACAAATTTTATTGGTGTCACAAGATCCATGGGCCAGGATTTAACAAAGCCTGCTGAGGCACACCTAAGAGCTTGGGCATGTTTATAGGGTTGTAAAACATGGGTAGGGTAGAAGAGAAAAGGTGTGTGTCTCTTCATTTTGTAAGCAATTTGAGAGAAATACAGTACAGGTAATCCTCGATTTACTACCATAATTGAGCCCAACATTTCTGTTGCTAAGGGAAGCAGTTTTTAAGTTAATTTTGCCCCATTTTACGACTTTTCTTGGCACAGTTGTTAAGTAAATCACTGCAGTTGTTAAGTTAGTAACCTGGGTGTTAAGTGAATCTGGCTTCCGCATTGACTTTGCCTGTCAGAAGGTCTCTAAAAATGATCACATGACCCTGAGACATTGCAATTGTCATAAATGTGAACCAGTTGCCAAGTGTCTGAATCTGACCATGGGGATGCTGCAGCGGTCGTTAAGTGTGAAAAACAGTCATAAGTCACTTTTTTTTCAGTGCCTTCGTAATGTTGAATGGTCACTAAATGAACTGTTGTAAATCAAGGACTACCAGTAATCAAGAAATGTTAAGTCCACTCTTTGGATACACAATTTAAGATATAGTGTTTGGACCTTGCCTATAATGCTACTTAGTGCAACTAAATTCTCATTGTGTTCTTGACAGAGTAAAATGCCCATATTAGGATTTTCTAACTATTTTAGTCTAAAAATGCGATGGCAAATTAAAAATAACCAGTGTTTAACTACTTAGCACTTCATCTGATTAAATCCAAAGAGACCTAGTTCTGCATTTTCAAAGTTACTGTCAATATCTTGGTCTATGTTTGTGTTAACACAGAAATACAGAATGGTTGTGTATTTATAGGTGGCTACATACACAAAAGCTTATACTGAAGATAAATTTGTTCAGACACTTCTATCTTTAAACATGGGCAGAGATCTGCCTGCAGGGGAATTCAGCTCAACTAGTCTAGAAATGACCATGGCTCTTTTCCAGCATCAAATTCCAATGCTGGAAATGGGAAAAATTAGTAGAAATGCCACAGTTCAGACCTCAGGGCATATTTTTGAAACCAAATGCTGAAACCTGCCTGTTCAGCCACTGGCATAAATCAGTTCCCTCCTATTAATTGGAGGGGGGTTGGGAGAAGCAAGGCATAGAGAAAACAAAATATAAAACTTTCTCTTTTGCTTCTGAAGTTGGAGCATTTCCAACATGAAGTAAATCATTCTCTTACTGCTTTTATCCTTTCATTCCTGGGGCTATAGTTATCAAACAAAGCTGAACAGTAGGAGGTACAAAATAGGCAGAAGTATTTCTTCATGTTTTATATAAAAATTATATGGAACTTGGCTAACTCAGTATGTGGTTACAAAGGGGGATACATAAATACATGAATCAGTTAATCAATGGCTACTAGTTCTACCACGTTTCTGCAGTTTAATAATATTAATTTGTGTTAAGAGGCAGATGCCCTACAAACATAGTTTCTCGTGGTAGGGAATTTTTGCCTTCATCACCAAATCAGGAGCATCCACAGGAGGATCAAAAATAAATAAATCATGATGTGACTGTGATTAAAGCTCTGCCCCTTTTTATATCCCATCGTCTATGATGCATGTATAAAAGGGGGAGTGATTGCATAAGCCTAATTGCTGTCTTGAATTATACATCTCCCTACCTTGATGTTTCTGAAATGTTAATAAAAGTCAAAGCTGCTTTCAAGAGGAGAGAAGAAATGACAATCAAATCTTGGTTGCCATTATCCTCCATTAACTGTTCTAGACTTTATTGCAATCTTTTTATAGTCACATATTTTAGCAGATGTTTCCAGTTTGATGAAATCTTTCTTAATTTTGTATTAAAAGCATATGTAAGGAGCTCTCAATTTATGGACAATTGGAACCGGAATTTTTGTCTTAAGTCACTGCAGTTGTTAAAGCAAGCCATCATGTATCTGGAACGAGCTCCGCCCGGAGATACGGAGGATCCTGGATCTGCGTACCTTCCGTCGCGCGCTCAAGACGTTCTTATTTCATCAAGCTGGCTTGACCTAAGTTTTTCCCCTTTTTAAATGGAAATTTTAAATTTGGTTTTAAATTATTGGGGTTTTAAATTCAGCCAAATTATTTAATTCGTTTTATTCTATTTTAAATTTTGTATTTATATGTTTTATTCTATGGCTGTTCACCACCCTGAGTCCTTCAGGAGTAGGGCGGTATACAAACTCAATAAAATAAATAAATAAATAAATGTATCCAGACCCAATTGTATGACCATTTTTATCACAATTACACAAATCACCATAGATCAGTGGTGTCAAACTCGCGGCCTGCAAGTCGGATGGGTAACATGCTGGCCATGCCCACCCCCAGTTTAGCGAAGGGGGGAAAAGTCATGATACATCACGTGACGACATGACAACACGAGTTTGACGCCCCTGCCATAGATGTTAAGCTTCCCCAATTAACATTTTTTGCTGGAAACCAGCTGACAGGGACACAAATCACAACTACATGACTGGAAAATGGTAAAACCATAATGCGTGGTCATAAATGCGAGCCAGTTGCCAAGCGCTTGGGTTGTAATCATGTGACCATGGGGGCAAAAAGCAGTCTTTTGCAAGGACAAGGAATAAATCACTTTTTCCAAGACATTCGTACCTTTGAACCATCATTAAATGAACAGTCATAAATTGAGGACTGTATTGTGCATTCCAAGTTTTCACTAGGATTCTGAAATTCAAGTTGCTGTTAAATCTAAAAGTCCCTTAGTTTTTGTACCAATTATTTTCAGCATTGCCTATCTTGCAAGTTTATTGCAATAATTAAAGGAAAAAGGCATGGTGGCTGGGCAATCCAAGTTATTTTTTCTTTGCCAAGTCAGTCTCATTTTCTAAAAAATGGCTTAGGAGAATATATGGCAAAGAGAAAGTATGTTCTGCTTCATTGCCTGAATATAGGTATTATGAAGGCTGAAGACTATTAAACCTTGATTTATCCGACAATTTGAGATAGGGTATGTCTATTAAATCCAAATTTGCATCATTTGTAGATTTGTACCATTTAATGGACATAAATAGCATAATCTATAGTAAAACCTGAGTTAATGGACAGCCCTCTATTTAACAGACATTAGGAGTGGTATATAAATCAACTAAATATACCCATCTTGATTAACAGTCTGATCTGTTGGTAGCAGTTGATACATAAATGCACTTTTTAAAAGTTCTCCTACCCCCTGTGAGCAATCCTACAAAACCCTGTGAAAACATCTTAGTAAAAAGAAAGCTCTCGTCCCATTTGCTGTACTGATTTTTAAAAGCTTTTTGCATTGTAACAACATTTACTTGCTGCATTACTTAATCAATACTATAACAGCCCAGCTGTATTTCCAGCACTTGTTTTTATGACATTTTTCCCTAGGGCTCCATTGAAACTTAATGAGCTCTTACTTCAAATATAAATGCAGGCCTTGAATTAAAGTAGACAGAGATCAGATACAAACATCCATTCTGGGATATTGCAGGAAAAAGGAAATCCAAAATTTAGGTTGTCCTTTCTCAATATCCTGCATTCATTTCACATGTGTTCTTGGGAAATGTTCCTGATGATCAGAGAGGCAGCCCACACACGGCTTATTTGTGCTGCTGTCTGCACAAGACAAGCTGGTGCTTGCTTCATTGCAACACACAATTCTGGGCAGCAAGCAGGTAGTGGACAGCATAATGAGCATGTAGCAACAAGGCACTGGAGGACTAAGCTAAGAATGCTATACAGGTGATAATCCTTGATTTACAACCACAATTGAGCCCAAAATTTCTCTTGCTAAGCAAGACAGTTGTTAAATGAGTTCTGCCCCATTTTATAACTTTTCCTGCCCCAGTTGTTAAGTGAATCACCGCAGTTGTTTAAAAACATGGTTGTTAAGTGACTCTGGCTTCCCCATTGACTGCTTGTCAGAAGGTTGCAAAAGGTGATGACATGACCCAGAACATTGCAGCCATCATGAGTCAATATTGTCAAGCGTCTAAATTTTGATCACGTGACCTTGGGGATGGTCATAAGTGTGAAAATAAGTCACTTTTTTCAGTGCTGCTGTGACTTTTGAACAGTCACTAAATGACCAGTTGTAAGTTGTGGACTGTCCCCTGCACTTAACTTTCCCAGTGCAGGGACATCTTTAACACTCATCAGTCAGTAGCTAATTTTCTCTCTTAAAGCCTGGACTAAAATATGAAGTATCAATGGAGATTAGGCTAGAACCAAACTCAAATTTGCAAAAGAAAGCTCAGTGTACAAATATTTTTTTTCAAAGCATAGTGAGACCACCCATCTACTTATTTGGCCATTTGGCCATGTTTAAGATTGGTTAAAATGAAGCCATTTGCTTCTTATAGGTTTTTTTTGGGGGGGGGGGAAGACTCATAGAAGGGATAGATTGGTTTGCACCCTAGCCCCAAAACTATTTCAAGTACATCCTGGGTTAGGATAACTACCAAGCAAAACTACCTTTTGCTTTTGAGAGCAAAAACACTACCTTGTACCTAGGTATGGTACCTAGTACTGTGACAGCTTGTCCACTTTGGGAAGGAAACAAGAAAGAAAGAACAGCACTGATTAATAAACTTAGAACAAGCACAGGGTATGTGTTGGTGTATAGTATTCGTACTGTATTATATTGCATTGGATTTGCCTTTGTGCCAATTATGGTAAAAATGTTTGGCTTCTAAGATTCATCTTTTATGCCATACCAAGCCCTAACAGAATTCTGCCGAGTAAAAGCAGATAAAAACTATTCGACAGAAATACTAAAAAAAATGTTTTATATTTCAAAATAGCTATTCAAGCTGACCCCAGGGAAGTGGAACAGAATCAAATTACTTCTCTTCTTCCCACTGTGTTCCCTGGAGTCTTATCCTCAAAGAAACAAAACAAAATGGATAGTAGAAATCTTGGGAGTTTTCATTCAGGTATATCAAATTAAACATCTGTTATGATGTGGGAGTAATGAAAATTTAAAAAAAAAACTAGGCTATGGAAGAAGAACACACAATTGAAAGGAATGACTTGCAGCTGGAACCCAGTCTCTTTTATGTCTTTATTCAACATTTCAGTTCTTTTTATTCCGATTATCAAATATGTATGAACAGCAGGAAGCCTTGTTTAAAGCAGCACATATATGCCAAGGACTGATTATATCTAACTACATTCCCCAAACAATGAAAGACTAACACATAAACATTGTACAGAAGTTGTATGGATTTTATTGTAGCTGAGAAACATCAAAGGCTGCTTTCTATTAAAAAGCAGCCAGGTTGTCAAAAGCTGGGGACATTCTCCACATCTGCTCTTTTCTTTTTACGATAACCCCGCTTTCTTTTTTTGCTTTCTAACCTCTTGAGGTATAAAATATAGAATCTGTTTTTAATCACATCTTTATTGTTTGATAAATAACTTTTTAAAATATTTGCTACACACAAAATGCCCATGCAACTGAATATATATATATATATATATATATATATATATATATATATATTCACGCTCTATATAATATATATGCTTGTAAAACACAATAAATATATATATATATTAAATACAGCAATAAATGTACATTTGAATGTTTAAAGTTAAAAACAAAGAGGAAAATGTCATTCTAGAACCAGATCAAGTAAAGAACTGCAATCAATCATAGAAATGCTATTTTAAGAAGATTTATAGCGCTAAGTACCTCTCTATCTCCCTCTGTCATCTTCAGTGCTCTTATAGAGAAGGACAGCAGAATGACACAAAACAAAAACTGACTAAATCTGCCTTGGATAAAATGAAATAACAAAATGTTCCCAGTAGACTTCCATCCTTTTATTATTTAAATTAATGTGGGGAAAAAAACCTGTAAATCAGAGAATAAATCATTCTGCAAGGATTGTTCAAATGGAGACCAACAGTGCAGCAAAAGCGATGGAGAACTTTAAATAGTCTATAGCAGCCATCTGGTGCCCTCCAGCTGTGTTAGGTCCACAACTGCGAAATTGCAGAGCCAACATTAACTGGGATAATAGGCACTGTAGTTTCAATGTATTCCAAGAACATGAAGTTGAAGAAGATTTGTCTATTATCAAGTAAATGGAGTTTCAAATATCACCCAATAACAATGACACTTCTCCAATGTTTCATGCATTTTGCTCTTTTAAAATTATTTTTTCTATCCAGTATTCGATACTGTATGTAAAACGTTGAACAGGGATGGAGGAATAGTGGTGATAATTTAAAGAAAGTGATGCCAGTACATTCTAATTTTTCTTAGTGCAAACATATTCCTACCCACCCACCTGATATTTCAATTGTAGTTTTAGATCTAGGAGAGAAGGAAAAGTAAGGGAGGTTATATTACTGACCCTTGTAGAGATTCTTTATTAAAAGATGCTCTATCAATCCATTTATAGACACAAGTGAAAGACCTTAGCAAGCAGCAGAGATTACTCATGATGCTGTTACGATGTCCCAATAACAGATACTCCTTTAAATAAACCCCCCCCCCAACATTAAGCTAGATAAGGCAAGATCAAGTACATATGAGTTCCATGACAGAACAGGATTCTTCTGTTTCTACTATTTCTCATCTAACTATACAAAATGGGCTCTATCCAGTTCCTGAAATTAATGCAGTTCTCTCAGTTATACATGCAAAGTGCTAAATCAAGCCCTACCAACCAAGTATAATCCAGCTTTTCTTTAGTTTCTGACTTTGGGCAATTTATTAACCTCTAGTGAAGATCAATTGCCAGACAAATGCAAATTATGATATAAAACAAGAGTGGGCAATTTGTGGCTTGTTGCCAGATTCAGTTCCCACAGTGTTGCCAGGAAAATTATTATTTTCATCAGAGCAACTTGTCCTTTTAATGCAATATCCCCCTAAAATAGATATTTAAACCCTCCCAACCTTTCCTTTCTCCAATACATCATTTAAAAAAAAATCAGTCCCATCCTCACTGGCAATATAATGACTTTATAAACAATGTCCTGTGAGCCTTCAGCAACCCCCACCCCAAAATTCTGTGCATTTCCCACCAAAAGGGTATAGTGTCATTTTAAGCCAGTGCAACTCTCAGGATTCTTAATAGTAAATGTTTGTGGGGATGGTGATATTGCAAACAAACCAGGACTTTCTTAAAAGGATTATTGATTAAATTTATCCAGGAGAGTTTGCAGATGGCACTCCAGAGCAGAGAATAAAAGAAGTATATATATGAAAGAAAACACTTTTTCTCTTTCACAACTTGTAGAATCAATCAAAAGACAAGATGACTCTTGTTCAGGATGAGACTTGGCACCGCTATTTCTAAAAGCAAATTACCGTAAAGAGATGTAACCAAGATCACACCTATCATGGTTATAATTTCAAAATCTCTCTTCAGGAAATCAATTAATCTATACTCTGCTACTTAGGAGAGAGAGAGTGAGAAAAATATAGGAGTGCCAACAAGTGAGGGGGGGAGAGGATATCGTATCAAATTCCTACCATTTGGGGCTATTGTTGGCTCAGTTCCCCCATCAAAGACAATTCCTGAGTTTTGGTCTGGTCTAGGGCTGTAGGTAGTTATGGATCAAATGGCTTTTTCAGTCTAGTGAGCTCTGGCAACTTTTGCTAGAAGGAAATATGCATCAATTCCTGCAGGATAATTTCAGTTCCAGGGATAAAATAATATGAAACCTACAGTCCCAAGTAATACCTCCAATATTTACCAGTATCTGAATTTTTCAAAGTGGAAGAAAAGAAACATGAACAGTTCATTGTGTTGGGAGTTTTCATAATGAAGATCCCAGAGAATGATCTGTTTGGAGCAACAGGACAAAAGGCTCTCCTGTTGTCATTATGATACTGATTAGATACTCAAACAATATTGCAATAAAAGTGCCAGGCACACCAATTATGATCACAGATATGCTTCCACAACAAGAACAAACTGTCCAACTCAAACATACAAAAATGATCAGTCACCATATCTTACCTCACCTTTAGTTAAATTATTTTTTCTCTAAACTGGGGTTTTCCTTACTGGGGAGGCATCATTTCGCTTTGTGTAGGTTTTGCCTAAAGCACATGAGATTTGGCTCAAAGCTATGTTTTGCTGATTATCTCCCTCTGTTCCCCTGATTTGAGATTTAAATATATAATCCAAGATTAGGAACTAGTAACCTTGTAATTGCTTGAGAACTAACATATTACAGTATATCATTTTGCAATTAAATCCACTTTGTCAGACAGACTACTTCATGCCTCTAACAAAAAAAAAAAAAGGCCCAGTCCATGAAAATTTGTGCTAAAGTAAACATTTTAAGGTATCATAGGAGTTATGCATGGTTTTGCTCTGAAACAAAGCAAAAAACATCACCCTGGAATTTACCAGGAATCAAAGCTCATCAAACGTTATGTAGCTATCCTAAAACTAATTTTTGCTCAATCCTATTTTTATATATTTTTGTGCTTTGAATCAAAGCTTACTGAGCCTTTGGGCCTGGAGAACTTGAAGTGGAACATACAATGAATTTGGAACAATATGAATTGGGGGTGGGGGGAACCTACTTATTCAAGTTATATTCCGTTGGGGAAAAAAATAATAATCCAAAAACATTATTTATGTTAGCCATGAAAACCAATCTATCAAATTCTTTTGACACCAGATAACATATTCATGCCAAATGTTCTTATGTATCATTTAACTAATGCAATGGGTTATTTAACCAACTAAGAACAGAGTAGCATGCTTTTATCGGTGGAGCTCTTAGAAGGTATGGGTAAGTCTGTGCAATCTACATAGGCTTCTGATTCAAGCATCTTTTATGGCCTGCTTTTTGTTTTGTTTTTTTCTGTAACGCCCAACTGGACCTTCCTGAACCTTTTTTTTTTAAACAGTTAACACAATTGAGTCATCCGTACTCCAACAGATTGCAAACTGATTATATTTTACCTTCCTATTATTTGGTAAAAAGCTAACACACATTTTTCCTTCATAAGGATCTGCAACTATTATGTACTATGAGGGCATTTCAAATGCATCTATTATTTCAGCACCAACTAGGCAATGTGGCTTTAGCAACAAATATTGTTTCCTTAAACTGTTTCCCTTTTCCAGGCCTGAGATGTGTAGTCATATTTCTGTCAGGGAAAAGCTGATTCGATTCACTTCCTTTTTCCCCCCAAGTCAAGACAAAAATCTAGCAGTACAGAGACATCCTGCTCCGCCTCATGGCCTCACTAATCAAGTAAGCAGGACTCAGTTCTGGTTCTTCAGTCATAATCACAATGTTCTGCCATTCACCCAGCTGATTGGATCTCTTAATGGTGTCCACCACACACAAAGCATAGAGACAATCATCAAAAGTTGCAGCCATTGTGAGTGGCCTTCCGTCCCAGGTTCGTCTGTCATCTTGATCTTCAAATGCCTCCCTGACTGCTTGTACCATCTTTATGGTGCCCCGGAGGTACGGAGATGGGATGTCACTGAAGGCCTTCTCGGGTAACAAGGCATTGCTGACTGGGGCAGAATCCTTCAAGAGGAGCTCTTTCTGTGGAGAGTTATTGCTTTGTCCGTACAAATCAGTGCCAACTGCAATTAGCCGCCCGCTTGATCCAATCACAACAATATCTTGTTTAAATTCTCCCGGCATGTTGAAATTGAGGGTAACAGTGCAGCACACCCCACCTTCTAAGACCATTTGAAATGTACAGAAGTCGTCACTCGTAATTTGCCGTATTCCTTTAATGTGGTCGGTCTGTTTCACAAAGGTCTTAAGAAGTCCATGAACTTTCACTGCTTTCTGACTGGTGAGGAAAGTCAGGAGATCAATGATGTAGGTACCAACAGAATGCAACCCTCCACCTCCCATCAGATCATCGCAGCTCCAGTTATATTTCTTCCCCAGCAGGCTCCCACTGTGAACCTGTACCTCACACACAAGCAGTTCTCCCACATAGCCCTCTTGGATCAGCTGCTTCATCTTTACAAAGGCAGGCAGGAAACGGAGAACGTTGCCCATGATGCTCATAAGCTTGGGATAATAGTGGGCAGCTGTCATCATCCGAAAGGCATCCAGCGGAGTGGCTGTTCTATCACAAATGACATTCTTCCCAATCCCTATTAGATATTAAACAAAAAAAAACAAAAACAAAAAAACCACAAGGTGAGTTAAGGATATGATGCGGTACAAAGTACAAGGGTAGAAATCAAGAAAAGCTACAAAGAAAAAATATTTTTAAAAACAATTTCAGGAGGGCACAACAAACTTTCTTTCCCTTTTTGCTTCACCTATAATTAACACGAATTTGAAGGATCCCAGTTGGCAAAAGCTATCAGTTCAGTCTGAAGAGGAGCAATTCTTCTGCAAACAGACATTAACCTATATTGATGCTTGCAGCTCTTCATTTTGTATTCAAATTTTCTTTAAATTTTATATTAACATATAATGTCTCATACTCAGATGCATCATTTATAAAGGAAATCTGAGCTTAACAAAATTCCTTCCATTTTCCACCTTTATGGCCTAAAATTGAATCTTATATTGCATTATAACCTAAAATGACAAAACAATACTAATGAAATTTTTGAGATTGTTGCATGTTGCATCTCAAGGAATATAAGTTTTTTTAATTCTTTATTTGCCCATTATGAATTACTTATTATACAAATGGATTATTATACTTCCATGGATTTATCATTATAATAACTTGTTCCCTGGCTGTGGCTAAATTCACACATGATGCTAATGAGTCACTTGATAAATGAAGAAGAATTACAATTTGCAAGCTGTATTTATGGATTAAAGTAGAGACTTCCAACTAACTCAGGACTTTTTGGTGGCATGCTGAGGATTGTTATCCAAAAAATGAATGGGTCGGGATAAACACATTTAACTTAATTAACATTTAACTAAGATTAAGAACTGATTACTTCCCAGGTACTTAATTTTTTCATTCTATCCTTTTCAAACTTACAATTTGGTGATTGGCACATTTGAAACAGCTTTGGGAGCAGCATCCCAAACTTTTGGCACGGCTGCACTATTTCCGATCATGTATATACTGCTGAATTACAACTCTCAACAGTCTCAATCAGTGTGGACAATAACAAAGGATGAAAGAATTGCAGTTCAGCAATATCTGAAAGGTCATATGTTATGCACCCATGTTAGCCTTTAAGCCTCAGTTTATGCATCCCTAGCCTAATAAGTTGATTTCATTGTCTGATAACTACCTAGTGGAACTGGCAGCCACTGTAGATGGGTGAATAGGAACAGTAGAACTAGTTCTAAACTTTGTGAATAAATACAGTGTAATGTGGTTTCACAACTGTAGCTCACATGAAGTTCTAGTGCGGCCCCCTCCACCCACAGACCTTCCAACTAGGTTGAGTTCCACCTCTCAAATTCTCTATCACCACTGAAGCTAGTCCTAAAAGTTGCTGTGGGGTTGCTGCCAGCCCCTGCTACTAGGTTTCTGTCATGGAATTGCGCAGCAGCAGCAGCCTTTGTCATCATCCAGAAAAGGAAGAACATAAGATAGTCAGGAACACAGGAATATCATGAGGTGAATTAAACAGTATACAGAACACAAAGGGGAAAAAAGGAGGGGAAAAAAGGGAAACTCCCCCTTTATACTTACCACAACCAATCATAGCATAGATTGCCTCAAATCAACTACAACTGTGTTTTCTACTATTTCAACTACAACTGTGTTCTGGCCTATTGAGCACTTTACTATTCCAGCTACTAAATTCAATATCCTAACAGTTTGTAAAAGAGAACTTGCAGAAATTCAGCTGGATCTCATCCATTTTTCTTAAAAGCCACTGATTCCCCAAATTTAAGGAAGACACATTTGGCATCATAGGAAAAACGCAATGCCGCAACTGTTACTTTAAAGTGACAGAGTTGTGGAGAGAGAGAGAGTAACAACTGAAAGAGCCTAGAAGAATAAGCAAAAACCACATGCCACTACAGCCTCAATTTGCAAGCATAGAATGTTGCTCTCCAGCCTCTTGGCTTTGTGAGAAGCATTTTTCAGCATTTCAAGGGGGTTGAACTGTCACCACCCATTCGATTAACAAATAACTACTCAAGCTGAGTCACAGCAGATGCTCAGCTCATGCTTTGCTGCACTGTGTAATCATGCATATATTTGGGAAGCTTAGCTATCATTCTTAAAGTAGTTGCATGGGCAGTCTGCGGATCTCAGAGGAAGGGACTCAGCAGAATTGTGATATTTGTATTCTCCCATTTTTAATGGGGAGAATGCTGTTGCTTATGTAGCAAAAATGGTACGGTCTATGTCCAAGAGAGAATGGGCTTTGCCTTACCTGAAAGCCCTTTCTGATTGCGGTGGGTCCGGTGGTCCTCTTCCATGGGGAGTGCTCTTCCGATGACGTCGGATCGGGTCTGCTAGCTGAGAAGCTCCTCCCTTCCTGTAGCCTCCCAGCTTTCTGATGAGATTCGATTTGTAGCAGACCTACACGGTGAGCTGCAAGAAAGGAAACAGGACACCAGAACCCCGCCGAATCGGCCCTGGGCATAACAGGGCGGGGCGGACCACCGGACCCACCGCAATCAGAAAGGGCTTTCAGGTAAGGCAAAGCCCATTCTCATTGAACGTGGGTCCGGTGGTCCTCTTCCATGGGACATACCAAAGCGTGAAACTATAGGGAGGGAGTTGCCCTGGCCGATGAGGAGGTCCGCTGGAGGACCTGTTGGAGTACCCTACGCCCAAATGCTGCATCCGCAGATGCAAACTGGTCTAGTCGATAATGCCTAATGAACGGGGTAGGGGACGACCAGGCCGCAGCCCGGCAGATTTCCTCCAAGGAGGCTTGGGTGGCCCAGGCGGCCGAAGTGGCCGCACTGCGGGTGGAATGGGCCGTGATCCTGGGTGGAACTGGCAAGGCCTGGGACCCGTAAGCCGTGGCTATGGTGGCCCTAATCCAACGCCCCACTGTAATGGATGAGACTTTTTGGCCCATACTAGATGGCTGGAAGGAGACTAGAAGGGATTCTGATCTCCGAAAGTCAGATGTCCGATGGATGTAGATCCGAAGGGCTCTCCTCACGTCCAGGGAGTGCCAGGCTCGTTCTAAGGGCAGGCTAGGACGTGGACAAAAATTTGGAAGGACTAGTTCCTGTGCCCTGTGGTAAGGGGAATTCACCTTAGGGAGGAACGTGGGGTCCAACCTAAGTACCACCCGGTCAGGATGAAAAACGCAGAGATCAGCCCTGATGGAGAGGGCTGCCAACTCTGAAATCCGCCTGGCCGAGGTTATGGCCAGTAGGAAGGCGACCTTATAAGACAGGAAACGTAGGCCCACTGACCTTAGGGGCTCGAAGGGAGCCTTCGTGAGGGCGTCTAGCACTAAGGGCAAATCCCAGGAGGGATATCTGTGGATAGACCCCGGGCGAAGGTTGGAAGCCCCCCTGAGGAAGAGGCGGATGAGGGAACGACTCGAGAGAGAATGTCTAGAACCGCAACACAAAATGGTGGATAGGGCGGAGACCTGCCGACGGAGCGTGTTAGGGGCCAGGCCTGCCTCAAAGCCGTCCTGCAGAAACACCAGTACCTGTACCGTGGAGGCCGACGTAGGGACGATGGAGCGGTGGTTGCACCATGACACAAAGGAGCGCCAGGTGGAGTCGTAAATCCGTGTTGTTGACGGGCGTCGAGCCGCTTGGATAGTGTTGGCGACCCGAGAAGGAATCTTGGACTTCTTCAGCAAGCTCCGCTCAACCGCCAGGCGGTTAGCTGAAGCCACGCCGGATCCGGGTGCAGTAACGGCCCTTGACGAAGAGTCACTTTGTCTCGAGGAAGACGCCAGGGATGACGGACGGACAGGGCTTGGAGGTCCGCGAACCATGGCCGACGGGGCCAGAACGGGGCAATCAACAGGAGCTCCGCCCGGAGGAACAGCATCTTTCTGATGACTTTGGGAATGAGAGGCAGAGGCGGAAAGGCATAGAGGAGGCCGGCCGGCCAGCTGCTGTGTATTGCGTCCACTGCCTCCGCCCCCGGCTCCGGGTAGCGAGAGAAGAATCTCTCTGTCTGGCGATTGGCCCGAGTGGCGAACAGATCCACCACCGGGAGGCCCAGGCGGTCGGTGATCATCCGAAACAGGCCCGGGTCGAGGGCCCACTCCCCTTGGTCCACTGACTCCCGGCTGAGCCAGTCCGCCTGGGTGTTCGTCACGCCCGATATGTGAGATGCCCGGAGGGACCTCAGGTGAGACTCCGCCCAGGCTCCCAAACTCTCGGCCTCCTGCATGAGGTGGCGAGACCGGGTCCCCCCCAGGCGGTTTACATGAGCCTTGGCGGCTACATTGTCCGTCCGTACCAATACGTGTTTGTCTGACACCTGATCCTGGAAGATCCGAAGGGCCAGGTGGATGGCCCGAAGTTCCAACCAGTTTATGTTGTGTGTCAGATCTGACTGGGACCAGCGCCCCTGGGCCATGGACGAGGACAGGTGGGCCCCCCAGCCCAGGAGACTGGCATCTGTAGTCAGAATAAGGAATTGGGACACCCTGAACTCCCTCCCCTTGAGGACTGCTGCTGAAGACCACCACTGGAGGGAGAGGAGAACTTTGTGGGGAAGGAGGACCTTGCGGTCGGAAGTCCCTAGATGACGTTTTTGGAACGGGATCAGAAACCACTGCAGATCCCTGCAGTGGAGACGCGCCCAAGGGATGATCCCGATGCAGGAGACCATCTTTCCCAGGAGCTTGGACAGGGCTGCCAGGGAGACTGGTCTCCCTGACGACACTGACCTGACCAGTGACCGCAGGCTGGACAGGCGGTCCTGGGAAAGATAAACCTTGCCTTCCACCGAATCTATGATGGCTCCCAGGTGCTGTATGCGAGTCGTGGGTATCAAATGGCTCTTGGCCATGTTGACGGAAAACCCGTGGCTCTCCAGGACCTGGAGGGTGGTGTCCAAGTCCTGGCGCGCTAGATCCTCCGAAGTCGACTGGACGAGGAGATCGTCCAGATAGGCCTGGATCCTTACTGGAAGAGTCCGGAGGTAGCCCACTAGCGCGGCCATGATTTTTGTAAAAACTCGGGGGGCCGAGGATAGGCCGAATGGGAGGGCTCGATATTGATA